CAAGAGGAAGGTATGTACCTTGTTTATGTCTCTGAGAAGGGGGAGGCCGTTAAAACACCCCCAGAGATAGAACGTGTCGTTGCTAAGTTCCCTCATCTGTTCGAGGAGCCCACAGGAGTTGTTGAAAGGGGAGTCGTCCACGCTATAGAAATCATTCCAGGGAGTAAGACCCCAAAGGGAAGGATCTATAGGATGGCCCCCGCCGAGTTAGATGAACTTCGGAAGCAACTTAAGGAGTTGACAGAGAAGGGATGGATTCGGCCTAGTACTTCCCCTTACGGATCACCCGTGCTATTCGTACCGAAGAAGGGGGGTACTTTGAGGATGTGCATTGATTATAGGGGCCTCAATGCCATCACGGTGAAAAACGCAGAGCCTCTACCCCGCATAGACGACCTATTGGATAGGGTGCAGGGATGCAAGTACTATACAAAGATAGACTTGAAATCCGGATATCACCAGATCGCAATAAGACCTGAGGACCAACACAAGACAGCTTTTCAGACTTGTTATGGGCTGTATGAGTTTGTAGCGATGCCTTTTGGTCTTTGTAATGCGCCGGGTACATTCCAGCACGCTATGAATCGGATCTTCCATGACCATTTAGATAAGTTTGTCGTAGTCTATYTAGACGACATTCTGATCTTTAGTAAGTCTGCCAAGGAGCACGCACAACATGTTGAGACAGTTCTCTCACTCCTACGACAGCACAAGTATAAGGTCAACTTAGAGAAGTGTGAGTTCGGTCGCACAAAGATACTGTACTTGGGTCACGAAGTATCCGTGGAGGGAATTAGGCCGGAAGATGCGAAGGCGGCTAGTATTCGAGACTGGCCACGACCTCTGACAGTCACTGAGGTCAGATCATTCTTAGGAATGTGTGGCTACTATAGGAACTTTGTAAAGAACTATTCTACAGTCACCTCTCCTTTGACTGATCTAACTCAACTTGACAACCATGGATGGACAAGTCGACATCGACGATATTGTGGATCACAGGGATATGCCTGTTCCGAAGCCGCTGGGTCGAAGAAGACCTCCTAAACCCAAGAGGGAGTACTGGATCAGATTCAGGCATCATACGGATCCGAAAGAAGATCGGTGGTGGCAGATTATGAACGAAAGCTAAAAGGGAAGGCACCTGCGAAGTAAGCATCTCAGCGGACTTTCGAAGCTAAGGGGGATGGAATGTGAGGATTGAGCCCTCAAGTAGGGGCCTTGCCATGATGTACATGTTCTGGGCTAAGGCCCCAGCAAGCCTCGTGCCCGCCCTAAGTGAAGGCGGGCCAGCAAATCAACAAGAGCCCTCTGTGCCAACATTTCACGAAGTGGGGTTCATACAGTTGCAGCACGCCAATTGGTTGGAGTGCTCCGAGTCTCGGATTTCAGCAGATGCTGAAAGCCCAGGGCCTCTGAGTTAGTTAGGCCCTGGGCACTCGAACGTGAGGCCGACAATGCATGCTGGGTAGAGAGGCCGAAAATGCCAAAGGGAAATCGGCCCACTATCTGAATCTGGCCACAGGCCTTGATGAAAGAGGCGCAACTGCATTGCCCCGGGGCCCAACTGTATCGAGTTGGCTTCAGCC